TGACATGTCAAAGTCTAGACCCTGAATATAAGACGACCGCGTTTTTTCAGATGTATTTCTAAGAAAAAAAACATCGTCTTATATTCGGGTCAATACGGTACATACAAAATTGTCAAAATGCCCGTCTTGGCGAGTATCCAGTTAAACACAGTCAGTTTTGGAACGTTAAATTGTTGAGAGAGAACGCATGTTGTGTAACAGTATATTGGGTCTGTGGATAAACTCTTAAAGGGACCGCAGTCCAATATTACTGCTGCTGTCTGTAATGTTAATGAAAGACCAAAAGACAAAGAAAGTCACTTTGAATACGTTTTATAACTTTAATGGTAAGCATTAATCTGTATTTAATTTTTACAATGAAGACTACAGAAATTAAAGTAATCAAATGTAAAATAACACATCGTGTTATTTTACATTTGATTACTTTAATTTCTGTAGTATTTCTTACCTGAGTAAAAGCTTACTTAACCTGAAAAACTTAGTTTCATAGCTCTCTTTATTCTATTGCATTTATTTGTGCTGTTGTTTGCCATTTTTTGTGTTCTTATTTTATTACTGACATTTAACTTGTTTTTTTATGAAAAAAACTTTGCATTGAAAAGTAGATTTTTGTTTGTATAGGCTGTCAATTGTAGTTCTTAGAAAGAAAATCGGAATGAAAGAAAATCGGAATCGGCAAAAATCGGTATCGGCAGATCACACCAACAAAAAAAATCGGAAATCGGAAATGGCCAAGAAAATTGCAATCGGTGCATCTCTAATTTCAATCAGCCCTAAAATCCTCTTGTCCCATTTAGCTGGATTGATTAAGAGTGGCTTCCCACCAAGGAATGAGCGTTTGAGCCATTTGAAAATCTTGGTGGGAGGAAAGTTATTTGTGGAATTCAAAGGGGGTTGGGAATGGGGTCTCTCATATAAGGAGGAAAGGCTAGAAGATATTAACAGTAACACATAATAAAATAAAACTCCGAATAAAACTGTCTGTCTCATCTTAGAGAACAAAACGGCTTCAAAACCACAGTGTCTTAAAGACAGAATCCTTAGAATTAAACAATTAAATCACATTGCTGCCCTATCGAGACCAGTTGGGTGGTGATCAGTTCTTCCGGTATTTTCATTTAGACAACAATTCCCAAAAGCAAACTCCTTAAACTTGAATAAGATGTCCTTTACTGCAGTTAAAGAAGTGCAACATGAAAGCTTTTTAAGGAGGGTTCGGTACAGAGCAGCTGCTGTATAGTCATCCGTTGGTGGGGGAAAAAGAAAAAGAAAAGAAAAAAGGCCCACACTCCCAAACAGGAAACGGCCAAATGTCATGAGCAGGAACTAAGACCATATTATGCCCGAGTGAGCACATTTCACCCCATCTCACGAAATGACAGAAATAAAGCTAATAAAATGTAAAGATTAAAACAAACAGTGGGGTAATTCTTTTCTCTTTCTTTACAGAATGAGAATTGAATTGGGCTTCTGCTGTACTCACCGATCATCTTTCCCAAATGCATCATCAAAGGCTTGAGAGAGACGCTTCAGTCTCTGGAGGCCTTTGGATACACAATCGAGATCCTCATCAAACTGCCTGTCACGGGATACAGAGGACCATTATGTGATACCATGTGTTGTATTCATATCTGCAGCACTGTCATCCCTAATGTTTTGTGGTGTTAAGGTCATCTATATGTTAATGTACTTCGAAGCAGATGGATAATTTAAAATCTACAGTCATGAGATATGTTTGGAATGAAATACAAGCATACTACTTATACCGAATACTAACACAGTATAGGGAAGGATAGGCAGCAATATTAAAATTCAGTTAGTCAAATATTTATTCGTTAAGTGAGTGTTTGATAATATCCAGCTTGGAGTTATTATAGTTACCTAAAATAAAAACTTAAACCATAAAAACATTTATTACTTAAAATAAATATGTTAGCTGAAATAAAATATGTAAAAATGTTATTTCAACTAGTTAATTTAGTTTAACGATGTATGAAAATAAACTAAAATAAAAAAAATAGAAACTATAGACAAAAAAAATAAAATTTTAAAATTAAAATGCAAATATAAAAATAAAAACCAATTCAAAATATTAATAAAAACTATAATAATCTCAATGATACTAAAATAACACAGAATAAAAATGAAGATTTTTATGAAAGATTCAATCTAGTGTAAATGTCTAAACATTTGGCCGTCTAATATAATCAATAATTTTTACTTTCTTTTTTTTAAACAGAATTGTGGGATCCAGTATTCTACACAGTGTGCTTTCGTTATACTGCATATTTTGGAAAATAGTCAATCATCTGGGTATTTAATGCATGCAGAAATTTGAATATTGCACAGTATACATACAATATTGCAGTAACAATTTAAGTAATATGGTATATGTCTCTCTGAACATAGTCATTCTTTTCTGGGGGGTAAAAAAAATAGATTACAAGACATTGATGACTCATCCTGCACTACACAGTTTCACCCAATCAAATGTTCTCTAGAAGTGGTTCCCAAAGTGGGTGCCGTGACAACTGACTAGGGGTGCCGCAGAATCTTAGCTTTTTTCCAATTTAACCTAAAATAACTATCGTACCATATAATAACCTTACCGTATACATTTTAAAAATAGCCTATATCAAAACACCAACATATGAGCATGTCCAAACGAAAATAAATAAGTGAAAAAACACTGATATATTTCATACTTATTTAAAGTTTAAATATGCATTTACCACCAATTGGACTGTTCTCAGGAGAGAATCGCCCCGTCCGCTCCGCCCTTTGTACTGGTGCACGCTCAATTTCATACCCATTTCACGCAGTGACTGACAGGACACGAAATTAGTGTTGCTGCGATAGACTGTGTTGACTGTTTTACCGATGTGAAGCCCAAGTTCCCGGCAACACCGGTTATGTCATTGCCCCCGGCACCGCCCCACCGTCGTTTTGATTTTTTAATAGTAATAAAAATAATTTAGTTCCCTACAATTAAAACTGAACAAGCAGCTGCTCAATGCAGCGTGCCGAACGACATTCGCATCACAGATCAGATCTAATTTATCTCGCGAGGAGAAGCTGACAAGAAGAGAGAGCTGAAACAGACATGACGATGGCATTAACATGCAAAAGCACCGGGTTTAAAAATATTTTGGATTTTGAAAAGCCTGTCGATTTCTGCCATTTATCTAAGGTGATTTTGTAAGTTTTTAAAAAAAACATTTGTTTCTTATTTATTTGGTTCCATCGTGTTTGCCGAATTAAAATTTATTTAAACGGTGTATTTATTTTTTTTTTTACATCAAGTATGCCGTGTCTCCAATCTTTCTTATTCGTTTTACTAATAAACATACATTTCTTATTTATTTGGTTTCACAGTGTTTACTGATCTTCAGTTTTGTATAGGCTACCTAAACTTTGTCCAAGTTATTTGTTATTTTATATTAGGCATATAGCATGGAGTATTTTTATTCATTTTGTTAATAAAAGTTCTATGTTCTACATTGTATTTTATTGTTGCTTGAACTGAATTCAAGCAATTGACGCGGAATTGACGCTAATTTGAAAGTGAAAGTAAAATGCGCACAGCGCTTTCAAGCTATTTAAAAGCGAAGGAAAGTGAGGAAAAGAGGGAAAACTCAAACAAACTAAAAACAAAACTGCTTGACGGCGAATTGCCCCTATTTTGAAAGTGAAATTAAAATGCACAGGGTGCTTTTACAAGCCATTTAAAACGGAAGGAAAGCAAGGAAAAAGAGGGAAAACTACCCACCTCTTTTCCTCACCGTCACAACCCTAAATTATACCCATCTATCTCAGAATGCGCCATCAATGTGCGGTTGCCGTTTTCAACCTCTTTCCATGCACAGATATTTTATTTTAATTTTTTTAAGTTATAAGGTCAGGTTTGAACAAAGCAAATGAGAAACTAAAGAAAGAATTGAATTTGAGTTGTTTATTATTTAAAGAGTTAAGTATCAATCTTTAAATGTGCTTTGTTCCAATGATTCCCACATGGTTCAAATCAGTCTGTTGACATGAGTCATCCATTGTAAAAGACAGATGGTTCATTTGAATGGGTTGTTTCACCTCATATTATGTCTGTTGTGATGCATTCATAAATTCATGCTGCTGTTTATGCTTCATTTGTTGTTTGCTCATCTGGATTTAATTCCATATATGTACACGTTTAGTTTAATTGGGGTGGGGTGCCGTGAAAAAAAAAAAAAGGGGGTGCCATCATGCTTTCAAAAGGTTTGGGAACCACTGCTCTAGAATGTGAAAGTCCTTTCCCCTGATATACTACCTGCGAGTAGCAAATCATAGCGCAAAAAAAAAAAAAAGATCCCTTCTACATGTCCTAACCAAACTTCCTGTCACAAAGAAATGTCACTACTAAGAACAAAAATGTTGCAATCAAATGATTTCACGGGGAAATGGGAAAAAAAAAAAAAAAAAAAAAGTTTAACAAGCAAAAATGGGATGTCTAAGTGCAGCTGAGCAGTCTCACCTCCTGCAGTTCATCGTGTTGGGTGATGCAAAGGGGCTTCTGAGTGCAGCCGTTCGCACCAGCTGCCTCCTGGTGCCCGTGGTCTTCACAGTCCTAACGGCAAAGTCACTGGCTTCTGGGGTACAGGCCCCTCGAGGAGTCCGCTTGCTGGTTGACCTTGGAGTTCGCCTGGGGGTGATGGTAGTACGAGCAGCAGATCGTTTTGGGGTTTGTGATGTCCCAATGCAATCACATTCCTCACCATCTGACATTCTACCAGGTGTCATGACCAGACACTCCTGACGTGACTGTCTGTTCCTTTGAAACCTCTGATTAGAAGATAAAGACACATTTTTAAACACCTGTCTTACATGAATAACTACAACAAATGACTCATGATTCAAAGAAAATGAAGCACACCTGATAGACGCTTCCAATGGAGTTTTTGGCACTGCGGGTCATTTTGTGGACAGCACTAGTCTTTTGGTTCATCTGTAGCGACTCCCATGTGGGGGTCTCGGAGATGTTCACGTTGGATTGCACTGGTTTCAATGGCAGCCGCTTGCGCAGAGACATTCTCAGTGAGTTCAACGAGCTGGAGGATCGCATCTTCTTAAACTGCTGGGGCGCTTCGGGCGAGCTGTCAGGTTCGGACTCATCGAGGACTGCATGCGACCTCCAGACCCCGCTCACAATCGTGGATGTCATAGTGAGATCTTAAAGAGATGAAAATTGCCTGTTTATATTTTTTTGCAATTTTAAAAATACTGACTTGTAAAAGTCTTTGATTTGTATTTAAACCAGTTATTTTGTGCAGGATTTACAGTAACGTTGCATGTAATTTTCAGTTAAATCGAACAATTTTTCACTATACAAGACAAGTTTTACTGTAACCATTTTTTCTGTTAAAAATAGATTACAACAAATAATTGTCACTTAAAGGGGTCATATGCTGCAATTTCAATTTTTCCTTTCTCTTTGGAGTGTTACAAGCTCTTGGTGCATGAAGAAGATCTGTAAAGTTGCAAAGACTAAAGTCTCAAATCCAAAGAGATATTCTTTATAAAAGTTACGTCTTGTCCACGCCCTCCTAAAACGGCTCGTTTAAACACGCCCCCACATGTCTACGTCACGATGTGCGAAGATTTGCATAACACCGCCCAAATGTGCACGCAAAGAAAGAAGGCGTAACTTTGATTCTCACTGTAGTATTGTTGTTGCCACCACCGCCATGTCGTGAAGGCGCTGTGTGTTTCGTTGTGAAAGCGAAACTACTTTGCTGAGGAAATACATCAACTTTGCGCTTTCACCGGATCGGCTTTCACCATGGACGAAGCAGAGTCCAGCCCGGGGTCGTCACATGTAGTTGCCGCAAGCC